AACTCTCAGTGTCTCAATGGCAAACCTTTAGGCATCCCTCCAAATAACTGTTTGAAGTTTTTCTAAAGTGGCTTCCCAAATTTTTTAAGTTGCCAATATGATCTTTCAAATCCCTTCTCCCTTTTTTCTATTCTCTACAAGTATTGTGATGCATACATTTAGAGCTTAAGAGAATTCAAATTACTTTTATTTTGAGAATATTATGTAAGCCCTAGTGGACCACAGGTTAGACTGGGTTGGGAGAAATAAGGCTGACCGTCTCTGTTTTAGACTACAGGTTCTCAGGCTAAAATTCTTAAGGGTTTCCTTAGATAATGAAGGGGCTTAAGAGAGCTGTTTCAACTGAATCAGAATCCTAAACAACAGAGTAAAGCGGAAGTGGGCCATGAGAATTATTTACCCAGAGTATTTCTGATTTCAAAAACTGACCAAGGTCAGTTAGCAAAGACCACAGACGAGGAGGAAGAAAATGACCACAACAGATCACAACATAATTGCACTTGACTTTCACTTCCTTTCTCTCTTTTTCCTCCTCCTTTCCTTGCCTCTCTTTCTGAATGACAAGAGTCAAAAGTAGAGTTATATGTGCTTACCACAATACCTGACATCCAGTAGCTACTTAATTAAAAACATGGTGTGGGTGGGAAACTACCTGTGAATATATGTATTAAAGGGGTAAGAGTGTAATAAGCATTGGTATATTGGAGAAATTTTCAGTGTGGCATTAAATTTGAAATACCAGAATTTTCCCAGATTTTCTTTCTTCCCTCATTCACATACTTATGAACTGGTAAGCTTGGTAAGAAAGCCATTCCTCCGAGTGGCTTTCTCCTCCAAGACTTCTCACCTAAATAGTAGACAAAAAGTCACCTACTGCTTTAGCGAGTGGTCTCTCAGCAGAGAGTCCCTGCCAGAGTACAAGCCCACAAGGTCCTCAGACCCTGCCTGGCTGAGGAATGCAGCGCAGATGGCGGCCTGACCTCAGCAAGGGGAGCTGAGAGACACACGGAATTCTAGGGGGCACCCTCACGCCATCTCCTCCAAACTCTTCAGTTAACTGGGAAAACTGAGGCCCAGGGTAAATATTCCAGGTGTCACGTATTTTTATGGCCAGAAGCACAAGAACCCAGGTCTTCTGGCTCCCAAACCTAGGGTTCTTTTTGGACAGCTGCTCCAAATGTAAAGTAGGTTTCTAAACGTAAATCTGGCACTTAAAGGACACTGACAGCAACCCCGGAGTATGCCAAACCCTTAAAGTGGCTGCAACAGGGACCCTCCACATTCTGACAGAAGGATGTGGCACCCAAATCCAAAAGAACTGCCAATTGTTGCAAAATTTCAATGGTGGCAATTGACACGGTTTATTCTTTCATTTTAACTGTGAGTACCCCAAACTGCTAATATGTACAGGAAGTGGGGCAAGAAGTAGGGGAAAGTAATGCCAAACTGAGAAAAGCAAGATTTAAGCAATTTCAAGAGTTTAAACTAATTCTCAAAACCGTATTTTGGAAATTTACAGCTTTTTTTTTTCTTTAATACACCTAAAAATGGTCCTGAGAAAAAGTCTTGCTCTGAAGAACCTGGTTTTGGAGTCCTCTAGACACAGGCCTTCACTGCTGACGGATCCTCCCTGGCTCAGTCATTTGCATTTTGTCTGCTTCCTGGTGTTGCTAGGGCTTTCTCATGGCTGCTGGTGCCCAAAGGCCTTTAGCCAAGCTGGTCTGCCTCTCCCCTATGCTTTCTCTTCTCCAAGGTTCTCTTTTCTCAACCATTTCCAATTGTACTGCCTGGCTCATCCTCCTCACTGCATTTTTCATGTCATAAATTTGAGTTGTAGAGTGGCACTAAATCCTCAAAATAAATCTGAAGAATTATTAGGGTAAACTGAAATCACCGAGTAATCTCTCTTTAATCAGCCACTCAGTTCTTAGTATCTCCTCAGGACATATACTTTTGGCAACTGGACGCCCTTATCCTTGAAGACACTATTTTAGCATCAGGCCAGGCCTCTATAGTCCAGAATGTCTATACTGAAAAGACTTTAGACATCATCCCAAACCCCTCATCTTACAAACAATACACTTGGCCTAAGAGGGAAGACTTTTGCCTAAAACCCTTCCACACGACTCCTCATCTTGCAACAGTTTGACATGGTACCTTTTCTTTCCAATTACAGTCTATTTATTACCACCTGAATTACTTATTTACCAACTCTTTTTTAAAAGGAAATATAGTAATTAACGGCTCAAATGGTGAGGTACAATACTTCCATAGAGTATCTTCAGGAAGCAGTTTTCTTTTTTATTGCTGTCACTTCAAACTGCAAATTATGCATGCATTACTAAGTTCATACTAAAAATATATAAGCAAGGTCTTTCCATAAATCTACATACTAGAGATGACAAACTAGCTTATTTAGGAGTGTGGGTCTTAACCCTATTTATGCTACTAAGTATATGTGACCCTGCGTGCAAGTCACTTCATATCTCTTTTTCTCCCACAGGAGATGAGGAAGGTGGGCAAGATCTATGGCTCTCGACTCTCCCTGGAGCCCTTGGAGTTCTGAAGGGGGGTACGGGAACCACGGGTTTGTCTCCTCCTGACAAAGCTGCATAGCTAACACACCGCATTCACTCTGGGGTCCCACTGGGTAACTTGTACTGATCAGAAGCTCCAATTGGCACATGTACACATTTTCAGCTAAAATGACAAAATAAATTACTTTTAAATAGGTTGTTTGAAAGACAAAACTTTCTTTAAAAATTGGCCCGATGGGAAAATTTTTTTTAAAAGAAGCTTTTCAGCCCTGGCTGGAGTAGCTCAGTGGATTGAGCACGGGCTGCGAACCAAAGTGTCGCAGGTTCGATTCCCAGCCAGGGTACATGCTTGGGTTGCAGGCCATAACCCCCAGCAACCACATACTGATGTCTCTCTCTCTCTCTCTCTCTCTCTCTCTCTCTCTCTCTCTCTCTCTCTCCCTCCCTTCCCTCTCTAAAAATAAATAAATAAAATCTTAAAAAAAAAAGCTTTTCAAAGCACAAAGTGGGAGCAGAGGGCGGAGCTCATAGGTTTTACATAAAGAAACACGAATTAGGTTTCATTCCACATACCAAGGCATGTCTGTCGTTCCTGCATTTATCTGCTGATCCTAAAAGCGCCCAGAAGCAGAGCACTCTCTCTATGTCAACTCTCAGTCCCTGAAAATGGCACTTGATCCAACAGGGAGTAGTCACTTAGTGTTGGATTAGAAAGTCTTTTTCCTTCTCATTCATATTGTCTCCAACTAGATTACGCTGCACAGAGAACTTAAAGAGAGGTCCTTCCAGAAGTTGAAATCTCTTGGTACAAAATACAATAGTTCATTCAGCCACACTCAACCAGTACACTTAAAAGGGCATTAGCAGAGATTACATTTCATTTCCAATCTACAGGGACTGCAATCTGAAAGCACCACCCACCTCTGCCTCACAGTCTCACTGTGTTTAGCCAAGAGGGAGGCTGTGTGCCACCAAAAGGCCCTATACTGGGCACAGGAGATGTGGGTTCTAATCCAGCTGGTCTCAGGAGCAATTCCCTGGGCCCGGCACAGTAATTTGCACGTAACTGATGCTCAGTGAATGTCAGTGGAGTGGAACTGCAAAAATCTCTACCATGTGCCACTGGATATTACATAGAGAATTTAAGGATGTGTCACTGCTTCCAAGACACTGAAATCCAATTATGTAATTTATGGGAAGTTTGGTGGGAATTAACATTTCCTGACTATCATTCAAAGGATTTACAGTAGTTATTTCACAAAAATTAAGCTAAATATTTCCATTTGATAAATAGAAAACCAGGTTCAAAGCAAGTCTGTAACTGTTCAAGATCACAGTAAGAGAAGCTCAGATTCCAAGGTCTGCTAACCCTATGCTAATTGCAGTAGGCAGCACCGATACACATCAAGGCAGATCGGGATAAGTTAGGGACTTGGGTCAAGGTTTCACTGTCTGTCATTAAGCCATTGCTTATCACTAGAAGGAACACTTCTGCAATTTTTCTACTTGTACGATTGGGCGAGGGGCATGGATGACCTAGATGGGTGGTTTGTTGTTTTCCTTAATTTTGTTTTGTTTTGCTTTGTAGGGCAGTTTTCAGAATACTTTTGAGCCAGGACAATTTTTTTTTTTTTTTTTGCGCGCGTAATATAGGTATTTCCCTTTCCTGCTCAAATCACTGAAATTATTTTGGAGTGATACCCTGGGATATTAACGAAAAAGTATTACACCCCTCAAGTGGATCAGAGCAGAAAAGTTGTGTGGGCTCCAAACCTTCTCCCATTAAGTTGAGGCTGCGAACCTGACCTTGCTGGATCTTGGTGGAAGTGAAGACACAACTCATTCATGGATTCGTATTTCCTTCCGAGCCTGGAACTCTGAGCCCAGCCGGTGCTCACGATTTGTTTGATCGAATGGATGGTGTCTGCGCCCTGCATTACCTTGAGCGGCCTGCAAGGGCTGGACCGTAAAGAAAAGCCCGTGCCCTTCTAGAACTTAAAGCTCCGGGTGTAAAATAAGGGAGTTCACACAGCCTGAGGCTCGGACAGCCCGGGTTCCGGGCTGAGGGCAGTGGCCGGTCCCGCCGGTGCCGGGAACCACTTCCTGGTCAGCCCCTCCCGCCCCTGTCCACACCCCCGCTGCGGCATTTCCCCCGCCGCTTAGTTGCCCAGGCGGCAGGAGGCTCTGTCCGACTCCCGGGGGAACGCACAGCCCGGCCCCGAGTGGCCAGGGGAGTCCCACCAGATCTAAAACACTACGCTCTGGAACTCCAACTCCCCCGGCGCCCGGCCCGTTTCCGGGGGTCGGGACCGCGGCATCCCCTGCGGCTACGGGGAAGAGGCCCGTTCGAGCGTCTCCCGGGCCACTGTCCCGCCGGAGACACAGGTGCGCCGCGTCGTCCCCAAACCTTGTCCGACTTCGCCCGGCACCTGTCGCGCCCTCAGCGGTAGGACCTGCGCTCACCTCGTTCCGGGGGCCCACGGCTGGTCCCCGCGCCTGTGGACCCAGCTCCCGCCGCCGTCTCCGCCAGGGCCACAGCCGCGGCCGCCGCCCACTTTCGGTTTCCTCTCTCCGCCGAGCTACCGCTTCGGCTCGCGTATCACCTCAAGCCCCCTCCCCGCTCTGCCCCGCCCCGCTCCGCTCCACCCCGCCCCGGGATCGCCCAGCCTCGGCTGTGCGCACGCGCGGGCACCCCGGCCTCGTCCGCCCACGCCGGCGTCCGCGCGTGGGAAGGAGAACCGACGCCGCCTAGCGGTTTCTGCGCGTGCCCACGCACGGGCCGAGGGCGAAGGCGATTGCAGGGTGAGCTCGGGAGCGCCTCCTCATGGGCAAAGAGAGTACAGGCGGGCCGGGAGGTACTGGGATCCTGCTGATCTCGGCAGCACCGACGTGCTCCTGCTGTCGTGTTCATTCTCCCATTAAAAGTTTCATACAACTCTTGCTCGTTTAATTTTTCTTCTGCTAGACAGCCACCCAGTCCGCTCATTTCTTTTATGTGTTTTTCAAGCATCAGCCTTTCAAGAAGGGTGGTCACACTCTTAAAAATGTCAATCTCTTTCCCTCATATTCCCTGTCTCCTTTCTCTGCTTTCTCCTTAGCACAGTAAATGTGTTCTAAATCTTTTCATGTCTGCTCTCCTCCTCAAGTTAAAGATCTATAAGCACAGGGATCTTTGTCTTGTTTCCTAGTCTATTTCCAGTGCCTGGTGCATGATAAGGGTGCTACAAATATTTGTCAAATTCATTCATTCTAAAATGATCGAATATTGATTCACTTATTTCTTCTGTACATACATTTTACCAACGTCTACTGGGCATATTGGCTTATATTCCTTAAACCAACAAATGACCCAGCAATTCTATTCCCAGAGTTCACCCAAGAAAAGTGAAAGCATATGTCCTCCTAAAAACTTGGACAAGAATGTTCATAGCAGTATTGTCCCTGACAGCCCAAAATGGAAACCCACAAATGTCCACCAGAAGGTGAAAGGACAAACAGCATACACCAAACACCTGCTGTTAAATAGCAAACTTCCCAGGAGTGCCTGCTCTGTTAAGGCACAAACCTGTGCTCGAGGAGCCTTTGATTCAGTGAAAAGATCTAGTGGCCAATGAAAGGGTACATGGGAAGTAGATCATGAAAAACCTGATAGCCCGTGCTCGAGTTTGGGGCTTTTCCCAAAGGCAGTGGGGAATTGTTCAGTTTTCTTTGAACACTGTTCTCTTTTATGCTCCCACATCTAGTTCCTAAGTCCGCCCAATGGCTCTCCCTGACACTCCGTTCTAGCTGTCGTTAATAGACTGAAATTTCAGTCTGTTTCAGAGCTCTCTCTCCCTTCTCCCTCCGATCTGCTGCAAACACTGCAGTGGATTTAATAGACCTCAAGTACAACCAGACCCAGTTTGGACCCTGCAGTGCTTGCAACATCCTCCGGCTCCACACTGAAGATGGGAAAGATGTAAAAAGCTGCACCCAGTTGAAAGAATGTCAGCTGGAGCAGGAAATTAGGAAAAACTCCGGAGTCCAGAATGTAAAATACTGTAAATGATAAAACCGAGTGAGTTGACCCCAAGTCTGAGATCCTTCATCCTTGCAAAGGGGTCCCATGTTTGTGCTGTCCTACAGACTAAGCGAAAAGATGTTCTGCAGCTAGTTTTTTTTTAATCAGCTTTACCGATAAATACTTTACATATCATAAAAATTTTAATGTACAGTTTGATGAATTTTGACAAACGTGTTCAATCGTGTCCACGGCCACAATCAGGATATAGAACTAGTTGATCATTCCACACAGTTGTGACCCTTTTCATTTCATTTCCTCCCCTACATCAGCCCCTCGTAGCCACTGATCTGATTTCTGTCACTATAGTTTTGGCTTTTCTAGAATGTCATATAAGTAGAACAATACCATATGTAGTCTTTTGTGTCTGGATTCTTTCACACCATGCTTTTGAGAGTCACCTATGTTGTCACATATGTCAGAAGCCTCTTCCTTGTTATTGTTGAATTAGGATGCTGCTGTATGTGTGGGTATGTTGCAGTTTGTTCATCTGTTCACATTTGATTCACACGTGTGTTGTGTCCAGGTTGGGACTACTATAATGAAGCAGCTACAAACAATCACATGCGGATCTTTGTGTGGTCCTGTGTTTTTCTTGCAAAAACACTTGGGAGTAGAATTGCTTGTTGTAGGGTAAGGGCGTGTCTAACTTTGTAAGAGCTGTCATAAACTGTTTTTTAAAGTGGCTGCTCCATTTTGGACTCCCCTCCCACTTACACCTCAGCAACATAGGAGAGTTTGTGTTGTTCCAGATCCTCTCTAGCACTTAGTATTGTCAGTCTTCTTAATTTTAGCCATTCCAGTAGATATATAGAAATATCATATTGAGGTTTGAATTTGCATTTCCCCTTGACTAATGATATTGAGCATCTTTTCATGTTCTTGGGTAAAGTGTCCATTCTAGATAGACTTTTGACCAAAACATCAGATGGTCCTCAGAAGTCCCTGGGTAGCTGACATAGTATGGACTGATTAGGAAGTGGTGTTTATTTTCTTTGGGAATAGTTCAAGGCCCAGGGAGTTTAAGAATTAACCCCCATGCCCTGGATATAGTTGGATTTCAAGAGAATTAAGGGACATCAGATATGATACAAATTGCTTACTCTTTAAGCAAAACTGTTCTTACCTTTTGGTGGGGAAGGAAGTCAGTATATGTGAAAGTAACACATAGATTGGGCATGTGATTTCAGAGAAGGTCCTGCACTTCCCTTTCTGTGATAACCTCTCTTAAAGTGCAGATCAAGGCCCAGGTGCAAGGAAGGAAGATGAATTTGTTGCCAGCTTATCCTGGGCTGAGAAAGGTGGGAATGTTAAAAGTGTGAAACCTCCCTCGAAAGCTCTTCCTGCATTTTTGTCCCTAACTGGGCGGGGGCGGGGGGGGGGTCTGTTCATTTGGAAAGAACCACATTGGACACAAAATGCCAAAACACCCCTACAGGGCAGACAGGACCAAAGCTATTGGTTGAGTTGGATTTCTGACCCTTCGTCCCTCTTCTCAGTTCAGCCAGCACCATTTACAATGGAAGGGAGACAGCCACCGTGGTCAAGAACCTATCTGCCTCTCACTTTTTATCTCACCTGAGGGTTTTTTTTTAGGTGTTTGCAAGATAGCCCAAGAAAGAGACCCATCCTCCCTCTCAGAGCCTCTCGGACTCCACAGCTGCCACAGGCAGCTTTACCAACACCCCTTCCACTCTTCAAAATTGAGAGAGGCAATTTTAGAAACCTCTGGTTGCCCCCAGCTAGCTTCCCATCTGAACTCATGTTTCTTCTGTATATCGTCTTCAAAAAGAAAACCTAAACTCTCACTTCTAACACCACATGTACCAGCAGCTGAGCCTCAGGGACTTGCTTACAGCAGTATTCAGTGTCTTGAGCAAGTCCTCTCCCGGGAAATCTTCTTGACGCCCCACCTGAAAGCGATTCCCCCCCCTTTAGCTGAGCTCTCCCGGCACCTGACTTGTTCCTCAAACACGTTGACAGTGGAGGCGAACGTAGGAGGTGGGTCCACGTCTCATCTCCCTTGTGAACAACTTGAAAAGAATTTAGATTTTATTCATCTTTTTTTCCTCTGAGTTATTTCATCGCAAATAAGTTTAGCGATAATAATTTGTTTTGAAGCTAAACAACAGGTTCAAAGTTGTCTGTGGATAAAACCCAGCCTCACTGGAGCTGGTTGCTTACACAAGGTCAGAAAGAACAGATCCAGGACAAAAGCGACCATTGGACAGACCTGCTCTTGGTTAATCATTGACATCGTGACTGCCCCCTGTCCTATCAGCTATGGCCTCACCAACAAATGCAGAGACATTTCTAGACAATCGCATTTGTTTTAACTGAGTAAGGAGAAAAAACAAAACAAAACAAAACATCAAAAGGGATTGATTGTCAGAGCCCTGCTACAATCCAGGCGGTGGAACAGCTAAGGATGTGCTGATCCAGCAGAACTCCCTAATCTGCCCACAAAGGCCTCCAAGGTGAGTCAGCTGAAAGGGGCTAATCCCCAGGAGAGACTGATCCCTAAAGCTGCAGAGGCCAAAGAACACTGGGAAACAGGGGGTCGTGAAAGCTTAAAGTGATATTGTTTAGAGAGAGGTCATAGAAGCAACAGGAGAGGGGCTTGGCTGTCTGAGAGGCACCCCTGCCCCCTGCCAGGTTGTAGGTCATCTACACAGCTCAGCCTCGAACAAGGCCCAGATATTTGGATGACTCCAAGTATGCGGATATTGCGTTGCCAGCTGGTTAAGGACTCGGCTGTGGGGTAACTAACACTTGAAGCAAAGTAACCAACTACAGTATTACTGATTCCGTAATAGTTACCAGCCCGCTGGTACAAACTTTACACTGCACTAGATGCTGGGCTGAGGAAAGGCAAAGGCAGTGGGAAGAAGCCACATTAGGTAGATGCATAGGAGCCTGTCTCGTGAGTCATTACAAGAGAGAAAGCACGGGAAAATGTACATGGTGGCAGTCAAAATGGCAACCAGGTAAAAGAAACGGGTGTGGGGCGTCGAGGAAGGCACGTGAGCAGCCTGTCCAGGTGACATGCAAAGCTCCTGAGGAAGGAGACCTGGCCCCGGGGGCCGAGCTGCAGTCGGAGAGGAGAACGTGGACCAGGAAGACAGCAGGGTGGAGGTTTTCAGGGAAGATGTTCTCAGTCCCATGGGACTAAAGAGGCCCTTGGCAGAGTTAAGGAGGCCTAGAAGACTTTTTCCCAGAACGCTGTCATTTGGTCAGGCAGGTTGCCAGGCAAATGCCCAGTGGGCACTGGATGCATTTTTTGCTGGTTCTAGGAATCAGTGCATGGTCGCAATTATAACCCACATTTTGTTACATGTGAAAGAGACCCTTTTCCAGAAGATCTAATTATGTCATGGTCCAAGAGGAAGCACCAAGCGTGATGTTTAGAAGTTATTTCCTTTGAAGTACTTCTGTTTTAAGTGACCTCTTCCTGTTACCACCCCACCCCCCCCGCCCCATCCCTGCGAACCACACGGGACTCCTCCTTCTACCTCAGTCTTCCTCATTGGAACTGCTGCCCGAGTGATGTGCCC